AGACCCGATCCAGTCTGGTTGAGATTCTCAACCTGTACAATATTTCTGATATCAGTGTCTTGCATCATAAGATACTGATCCGTTTCTGGACTTGAATAGTTCTTGTGTGAGCTTTTTAGAGGCTGTTGTTCCCAGATGTTGGATCGAGTGTCCAGCTGATTCTCAGGCGCCTGGAACATGTGGTGGCTTGAAACAATATCATCCAAGGCAGACAAATCTGTATCTGAGTAACCATCCTCCTTTCCATTCGTCCTCATGCAAGGCTCAACCCTACCAAAATGGCCCTCTAGGACGTTATATGAACAGTTTGTTTGATTGTGATGGAAACTACGTCTATGTGGCTCTTGATTGCAGAGAACATCAAATTCGAATTCCTGACCGTTTTGACTCAAATTGCTGGTTCCAACTCCAAAACCTGTTAGGTTCTCCACGTCTGAATCCAGAGAGCTTGGAAATGTGCTGGCTTCCTGTAAATCTTCACTGTGAACCATCCACTCACCCATTTTACATTTAGGATCAATGTTTTGGAGCAGCAGATCTTCATGATTATCATAACAATCTAGTAACTCAAGGTCATCCATTAAATCCATTTGAAGACTCTCAACGATTGTGCGATCTTGCGTTTGGACGCCGTGCTCAGCGTCAATGAGCATCTGAACCTCCAAATCGCATGAATCCAAAGACAAAAGTGAAATCACCGGGGAAGTGGGTGACAGGTCTGACACTTCAACACCTGAGGGGAACAACTTCATGTCCGAGTGTTTGGTGAGACATGGTTTTGAATACATTCTTGTTCTTTCAATGCTTCCCAACCAGGAAGACACGCTGTCTTCGAAGCTTTCTAAATCTGTAGATAGCGGTTGCCTTTCGAAGCTGTTGCCTTCAATTATGTGTCCAGGGTTGTTTTTTATTGCGGCATTACAGTTTTTTTCAGTTCTCAGATTTGTGGCTATACTGTTGAAGGACTTGCACTGTGAGAAACTTTTATCAGCCACATTGGTCTCCATAAGACTGTCCAATGTCCAGAGGTCACAGACTTCTTCTTGTTGTTCAGGAAGAACTTCTGTTTTGTCAGTATTTATAAAAGTTTCAATTGCTGTAGAAAACAGAACAAGGAGTCATCAAACTGGTTACAGATACAGACCACAACAAATCAGTTCTGAAAATAAAAAGTAAGCTCTTTTGCCTTTTTTTGAGGGTTTAGGTGACTGGTCTGAGACTTCTTTTGCAATGCGAGACAGACTGGGTGTTAGATGATCTGGGAGATTCTCAGTCGAAAATAAAGCAGAAGCCAGCTTATGGTTCGCTGCCTCTATTTCTGCAAATTTCCTGTGTAGAGGTGGATGGAATATTAGTTATCATTAATCATTAAACATATATGTATATAAAGTGGTGGTAAGTAACGGAGTAAAAATACGTTGTTACTTTACTTAAGTAGTTTTTTCAGGGATCTGTCCTTTACTTGAGTATGTTTTATTTGCATCTACTTTCACTTTTAATCCACTACGATTTTAAAAACAAAGTTTACTTTTTACTCCGATACATTTCCCCATGCCCGCTCCAAGTATTTATTACACTGACTTTCCAAACCAAAGAAAAACTTGTTTTTCTTTTTTCTCTTTGCCAGCATACGATCACAGCAGTCAGTTCGCCATTGACCGCAGAAACAGGTGAAGGTACAGCTCTCGATGCCAGCAATGATCCCAAGATTTCCGACCGGGATCACCCATGGCCATATATTAATGATAAGTTAGAATTCACCGAAGTCAAGAGAGATTTATATCGGCTGAAATGCCGTCTTTGCCTGCCACAGGTGAATGAAATTTCAGCATTCAATACCTCACCCTCAAATCTGAGAAAATACATTGTGGTGAGTTAACGTTAAAGCAGCACTAAAGAAAATTTGGTAACGCATCCTTTTACAGTACAGTATACTTACAGTGTACTTACCTAGAAAGTACTGGCTAATATAAGGTAAGTACATGGAATAGGGGTAGGTTTAGGGGTAGGTTCAGGGTTAGTACTAGTTATTACCCAGTAATTGTAGTTACTAAAATAAGTACATCGTATTTACATGGGTAACTGGACTGTAAAAGATTTTACAAGAACATTTTTTCCTTAAAATAATGTTTCTAAAATCGTTTCAGCGGTTCATCAAGTCGTAACAAGGTGAAAGGCACTTCGGCCTTCGCTTTGTGGTCCTATATCTGCTAAAACCACATTATATAAGTTTGCCAGATCGGGTCGCGTTTCTGTAGTTTGAATGAGACATCAGAAAACTACAAATTTGACTTTACGGCAAGCGTTACAATTGGACAACGTTCACTCTAAAGCCGGTTCTGGATACACAGTGGATAAACAGTAGGCTGCGGTAGGCTAAATTATTTACAACAGCGGTACCGTACTATGCCGCTTCCAACGTGTAGGGCGCCCACAGAGGAAAAGTTCTTTAGTGTTGCTTTAATGTTACTATTGTTAGCCAAGTGATTTCATATTGAAACATGCCTTGTAAACAGCTAGCTAACAAATTCTTAATTGCAGTATCTAATATTATCATTTGTTCAAATAAAACATTGCATATCACTCCCAAAACAATTGATCTGCCCAATTATTGATATTTACAGTTAATTTGTATATTTACTTTTTACTTTCGGTACTTTTTTGAAATCGGATACTTTTGTACTTTTACTCAAGTGATGTTTGAATGGAGTACTTTTACTTTCTACTTTTACTGGAGTAAATTTTTATTTAGGTATTTATACTTTTACTCGAGTATAAATTTTGAGTACTTTTACCACCCCTGTGTACTGTATATGTATATATATATATATATATATATATATATATATATATATATATATATATATATAATATATATATAATTTTGGGGTCAGAAAAAAATGTTCTTTCTTTTTTGTTGTTGAAAGAAATTAATACTTTTATTTAGCAAGGACGTATTAAATTGATCAGAAGTGACAGTAAGTACATTTTTAATGTTACCAATAAATTCTATTTAACATTAATGCTGTTGCTTTGTATTTTTTATTATCATAGAGTCCTGAAAATTGTATGCTGGTTTTCACAAAAATATTAAACAGTGGTTTTCAATATAATTATAAGAAATGTTTCTAGAAATCAGGTTATTAGAATTGTTTCTGAAGGATCATGTGACACTGAAACCTAAAATTCAGGTTTGCCAATTGCCATCCATCTACACTCTAAAAAATGCTGGGTTGTTTTAACCCTAATTTGGGTAAAATATGGACAAACCAAAATTTTGGGTTAAAAAATGTCATTTAAAATTTCCACTGTAAATTTTTTAATTACATTTTTAACCCAACATTTGGGATTGTCCATATTTGACCCAAATTTGGGTTGAAACAACCCAGCATTTATTTGAGTGCAAAGAATAAAATAAAATATCTAAAACTAGTCAAAAGCAGTCAAAATATTACTGTTTTACTGTTATTTTGATCAAATAAATGCAGCCTTTGTGAATATAATGATGTTGGCCAAAAACAGATTGAAATTTCTAAATGGAAATAACAGAGGTGCCGATGTGTGAAAATGATTCTTCATTCTCCGTCCCAACCATTCTTTCACAGTTTGAACATTGGCGTCCGCAATACATGGTTTGTCTTCCTTCATGCTTGTTTAAGAAATGAAAAGCTTCCTCCATCATAACATGCTAGAAATATAATAATCACTGCAATAATGATCCAATCGTTGACTCTTAAGCACATTACTGTATATAACATACCTCTGTATCATGTTGTGTAGAAACCTACGATGATTGACTTGTCGTTTTGATGGCTTGTTTTTACGGGGTTTTTGCAAAGTCCTCATCATGTGACCAGCTGCTGAGGTCACGAAAGTAAAAAGATCCCGACCCCATGGCACTCCGTGCTCCGGCCCTGGCTCAAAGGTCAAAATACTGGATGGACGCATTGCTTTGGGGATAAAATGAGGATAAAATATGAAGGGTATTAAAGATAAAAAAATAAGTAGTTGTTTGCTAAATTGCCTAGGCTCAGTATTATCATTTTGTAAAACTAAAGGAGCAGAACTAAAACATTCAGTAAAAGCCTGATAATCAATCTTTCCATGAAAGGACCACCTACCTTCTGTTACTCAGTAAGAATCCACTTTTGAAGCAGGGAACCAGAAGACTTTGCACAGGTGATCCAGTCCCGCACCCTGACTGACCGAGAGACAGAGAGAGTGCGAATGAACGAATGGCCGAGGGGAGGGTGGCATTGATTCGGTGATGATGCCACAGTGAACGATTCTTTGTCTGCTGAGATAAAAGGTGGCAAGGCCATTAAAGAGGACAGAGAAGTGCAGCAGAATGAAAAGAAAAGCAATTAGAAGTCAACTGGTTGGTGCCGTGCGGTCTCCTTGAGCGTGGTCAGAAACAGCGCTTGTTAAGTGTTAGCAAACACAGCGCACCAGTTAAGCGCTTACCGGCCCTTTAATTGATCTCTTTAATCTCAGATCCTCATTAACACATTCTCCTGTCTGAGAGCTCTACTGGTTGCCACACACAAATTGCCTTCACATTTCAGCCCTCAGACAAAATGTTATTTTTACATATCTATGGGGACGTTCAACATAATGGAACGTGGTCCAGAGGACAGGGCATATGTCATGAGTCAAAGCAGGAACATATTAAATTGAACTGAATGCTTAATAAATGACTTGTTCACATTAGAGCATTGTATTTTAAATGAATGCTTAAAAGGAATAGAATATAAAAAAAGAGAATTCTCATGTCATGACTGTGCTCTATGGATATTGTTAATTGAAAAATTTAACAAGCGACAGTGTGAAAATAGTGTTTCGGAAGAATTTAGCTTGAATTTATTTTTATTTAAGTTTTAGTTATAATTTTAGTACTTCAGCTTATTTTATTTCTAATTTTTGTTTAAAGTTTGTCATTATGTCCATAACGAATGCAGTTTGTGATATTTTTAGTGTCAGTTAACTAAATCGCATCTTGCTTGCATTTTTGTGAGATTCATTAGTTCTGTGAATTATTGGTCCATTATCATTCAGCACTATGGTAACATTACAGTGGGGTGTGGACAGAAGAATCCTCACTATATTTAGTGCAGCTTCTCACATGTCACTGATTGCTGCATATGTTCTCTGCTGGTTTTGAAGCACTTCTGCTTTCAGCCTGGTGTTAGAATGTTCTTCTCTCAAGTTTAACATCGGTGAGCTTCATATACTTCACGTTGTATCTGATCTCTGCATTTCATTATGTATGATTGATGTGTTTTACTATTAAGCAGAAGGATGTTTAATATACTGATTATTAAAAAAATCTTCCTTTTGTAAATTCCCTCAAATGTTCCCTGGTTCTCTCCATGTGTTCTTTTCTCACATTCTGGCACTGATAAACCTTATCATAAACACTCATTCTTGCTACTTTGAACTTTGTACCTCAAAACAAACTCTGATTGGTCTATGTTTGACCAATCAGCTTTGTTTACAAGAATCAATCAGAGGGATACAACAGAGTGAACCTTGAGATTTGTCATTCATTCTTAAAACAGGACAGCTGCATGGTGAGTTACAAAAAAAAAATATTATTTAAACTTAAATTGTCATTTGCAACTATTAAAAAAAAAGTCAGCATGAAACAGAAGGTGTTAGTCTTTTCCTCCCTATTTTGATCTGATTGGAACAACAAGAAAAAAAATGTAGGCTGGGACTTTAATTTGTCCATCAGGAATGGTTCAAGTGGTGCTCACTGCAGTGCCAAATGACGTCCAGCTCTCCTTCTCTGGACATAATGGGCGGAGTTATGGTTAGCTATAGGATTAGTGTGTGGGTGGGGGTTGTCTAGCTCCACCCATTAAGTCCAGTGAGGCGGAGCGGGATGTCAAGCTCCACCCATTGGCTCTGCAGTAAGTAGCATCTCTTATGGATTGCTATTGCTGTGATGTCATGTGAGTGACAGGTTGTCCCTCCCTCACTCCAGTAAACATGAGGAGTGGAAGTGGGGGTGCAAAAAAATAAGAATTTTGATTTCATGGTGACTTTAAAAACTCAAATTAAAAGGATCAAATGACATTTATTGTAGATTGAGCCTATTCAGTTTAATGAAATGTTTACTTTTATTATCACTGTCCAGCGGTCATCATGAACAGAGCATGGACTTTGTTCAAATCCCATCCATACATCCCTAATGTGCTGGGATACACAACCCTGTTTGCCACAGCGGACCTCATTCAGCAAAGCATGATGGGAAAAGCTCAGGACAAAGTGACAGAACAACACAAACCAGACAGAATAGGACAAGATCCATCTAAGATGTCCACTGAAGGAATAACTGTGGCCGGAGAAGCAAAGACAGATGATCTGACTTGGTATAATACCAAAATAAGTGACCCAGAAGGCAATAAAAAAGCCTCGGAAGAAAATAAAACATCAGCTCCAGTCCAACGTGTTCCGCAGCGTCACGGCATCGACTGGGCCCAGACCGCTCGGGTGGCACTGGTTGGGTTCTGTTTCCATGCTAACTTCAATTACCATTGGCTACGAGGACTGGAGAGGATGTTTCCGGGGGGAGGGGCCAAAAGAGTGTCACTCAAAGTGTTTCTAGACCAGCTGTTTGCAGCCCCTTTGACAATAAGTGCTTTCTACATTGGTGAGAATCAGCAATAAATATACTCACCAAAAGGAATAACTGAGGAATTTCCACTTCTGTAAAAAAATGTTTTCATGATTTGTAATCACAACATTATTTTTTTTTTCAAATCAACTTAAATAATTTATGTCGTTCAGATAACATAATATTTTAAGTTTCTGATGATTAAATCAATCACCTTCATTGTATTAACTCAATTTTTCCATTTCAATGAACTTACATTTTTAAGGCAGCCAAGTTACTTAATTTTTAAAGTTAAACCAACAATATTTTTTTAATCAAACAAAATCAATGCAAAAATATATTGGTGCACAAATGAATGAATAATGATGAACTGAAGTGTTTATTACACTTTTAAAGGGCTGAGCACATTGGAGGGTGCAGAGGATCCCCTTGAAGACTGGAGAAATAAATTCTGGACCTCTTATCGGGTAAACATTGAAGAGCACAAGAGCAATTGCACATGTGTAAATTCTGGATCAAATTTGACACGTTGATTTACTCTTTGTTTCTATTTCGGGTAGACTGGAGTGGTGTACTGGTCAGCAATGCAGGTATTTGTTCTGTCAGATCTTTTTCCTAAGATGCTTCTTCATTTGTTTCCTAATTATATTCTTCATGTCTCAGGCTGTGAACTTCTCCCTGATCCCGCCAGTGGCTCGGACGGTTTTTGTTGGAGGAGTCGCTCTTGGCTGGACTGTCTTCTTGTGTCATTTCAAGCAACAGAAGAGTGACTTCCTGAGCTAGGCTTTATTCCACATGCTGCTTGCATGCCATCTATGAAACATACTGCATATTCTTAAGGGATGCATTAAAGCTGGCTGATTTTAAACAACTGAGATTTTTAAACAAATGCCATTGTCTCCTATAGGTTAATTACAAATAAAATAATGTTAATAAATGATCAATATGCTTCATAATAAACACGTTTTTTGTTACCCCAGTTTTTCCACTCATTCTTTTAGAATTTGCAATGAAACGGAAGTAGTGACAGATCTTTTCTTCCACAGTGAAATTATTATCAAGAAAACAATAGGTAGCCTACGGGAAATTGGTTCTTTGAACATTATGAGGTCAAAAAAATGGTCACACTTTAAATAAGGTGTCTTTGTAGTAGCCTACATTAAGACACTTAATATAAAGTGGAACCAAAAAATGTAAAAATGACATTGTTCACTTAAAATCCATGCATTCAGAAAATTGATTAGGTGAATTTTAGTTTTTAAGAGATTTTTATTATTTTTTTTAAGAGAGATTTTATAGAATATTTCAAATGAATAATAGGCCTACATGTAGGGTATAAATATAATTATCACAATAAAGATATGTCTTCATTATAATAACTTTGCAATCAATCAAGCTCTTTTAAAAGTTGCTGCGATAGACCACACTACTGTATACAATAGTACATTAATTTGTACACAATAATAATTCATTACATTTATATAGCGCCTCTCTCGGCACTCAAAGCGTTTTACATAGGCCCTACATTTTTATTTCGCTATTTTTGTTTGCTTAAACCATTTATTATGAATTTGACTGTAAAAAAAAAGCACCAGAGTGTACACTGAAATGTTTTTTTTTTCAGTGACAGGAATCGTGAGCCTACCCGGACGCGCCTTTTCAGTCACGTGACTCATGCCGTTCCGTAATCTCGCTATACGTGCTCTCGCGAGCTTTCTTTTTCCCTTTTCACTCTGAGTCCAAGATGGTAGGTAGCTTGATATCTTATGGAATCTACCAGTATCCAAAATCTTCCTCCATCCTCAGCGATATCTGTTCTAGTTTTTCCGCAGATGATGTTTAGAAGCATTACATAGCACTATAAATGGTTTGATATAGGTATTATTGTGGATAGTGTGTGAAATTAATTAGTAAATGCCGGTTAACGCACATCGGGCCGCAGAGCTGAGACTCCCGTTCATTTGTTGTGTTTAAAAATACTTGCCGTACATACTCTGACGGCAGCGTGTTACAGTCTCATTGATCTTCTGTTTATAAATGTATAAATAAAATACATACTGTTGTTTAATTTAGTTAACTGGTCAGAAGGAGAAACACTAACGTTACAGCAAACTCGTGTTGGCTAAGCTAACGCTAGCTTTATTAGAGCTAGCAGTATTCGGCTCTCAAAGCCACATGAGTTACGGCTTATTTGAGACGAATTTGAATTATGGTAAACATGTTTTTCACTCTAAATATTTGTTTTCGTTGTGCTAGCCATTATTGCTTATGTGTAAGTTCTCAAGCTAGTGTAATCTATGGAGAACGTGCTAATTCTCCATGTTTTTTGTTGGTGTGTAATTGATGTATTTTGTGGAATCCTACAGGGAGTTGACATCAGACACAACAAGGACCGTAAGGTTCACAGGAAGGAGCCCAAAAGTCAGGATATTTACCTGAGGCTCTTGGTCAAGGTAAGAACCAACATAACTTACTCAACACAGATGAGCAAGCTAGAAACTCCAGTTTTAAAACGTATTGCTAAGTTACATTTCTCTGACTATTTGGGTCAGTTGTCAAACTTTGCCTTTAATTTGATCAGTTTGCTTTTTGTTGTGTTGCAACGTTAGTTGTACAGGTTCCTGTCTCGTCGTTCTGATGCTCCCTTCAACAAGGTCATTCTGAGGAGACTCTTCATGAGCAAGACTAACCGCCCGCCTCTGTCCATTTCCCGACTGGTGAGTTTGAACCCCAGTGTAATGCCCGGTACACATTGTACGATTTTGGCCTGTCCTAGACGAAAGATGACCAATCGTGGCAGTTTCTGTGGTCTTGGCTCAAATGGTGGTCCTACGTCGTTAAGTGAGAGTTGTCTTGTCACGGCCAAAGATCCCAAGCAATCAGTGTCAGAAGTTTAGCTTGATCATCTTACACAGTGTGTTTGCTGTTATGGCTACATCTGCTTACTAGCCAATAAAAATGCAACTTGAAATGCCATATTGATCAATGCAACATGGTGCTAAAACTAATAGCTACTTGCCTCAAGCCTCATTTACAAAATAGTTGGTCTCTATTCCCTAGCCATGACCTCATCCATATTCTTTCGCTTACTCTTCGTTGCATTTTTAGAGCATATAAAACCCACCAACACCAAAGTGCAATTCATCTTGCTCTATTTGTTTATCACTTGCACATGCTGATGACGTTTTATTCTATTCTAACTTGCGTCATAGCCTACTATTCAATAGGTGTCGTCATCGTACAGTCTACATGCACAACATACCTAAGTTTAATAGGTTCATGTCGTACAGTATTGAAATCACACAGTCTGAAGCAGGCATTACTCCTGTAGATCTCGTTTACACATGACCTTTTGCATGTTAATTATTGGGCTGGGAATTAACACAGATTTCACAATTCGATTTCTACGCACAAGCTTGCTTGATTCCATTGATTAGATATCGATTCATTTAAATTTATATCAGATAGAGTGCAAATTTTCTAAATCTCAACTAATGCTGTAAACTGTTTAGGGACCATTACTATAATATTAAATGTTAAAATGAACTGATGTAATTGCACACAATTACATTACAAATGGAAGTTTTTATAATAACCTTTTAATCACAATAATTTAATAAAAAATTTGTACTTAAACTGTAGCTGTCAATTTATTCAAAATACTTAAAATATTGAAGAACGGGTACAAATGTGATGTATATATTTAGCTAAATGCTCTCCTTGCTAGCTAAAGGATCACCTTGTTTCAGCATAAGACACTGTAGGTCCCCGTAGACTTCATTGGTATGAAAAAAAAAATACTGAATAGAAAGTGTTTGGTTATCCACATTCTGTTTGGTTATTCACATAAAAGATTCATATCATCTTTTAAGTTCTTTAGAAGAAAAACTCAAATATGTTTAGAACAACTTGAAGGTGATTTCGTGTGAAATATCTAATTGATATTTGTTCATCAAAATGAGAATTGGTTAGAAATTTATATTTTTAACACAGCTCTAATTAAACCTTGGTGTTTGTCTCATGCGAAGTTTTCTTCTTTCTCTGCCTGTAGATTCGTAAGATGAAGCTTCCAGGCCGTGAAAACCTGACTGCTGTTGTTGTGGGAACAATTACTGATGATGTCAGGATTCACAAAATCCCTAAACTGAAGGTAAGACAGACATTGTGTGGTTAATGTCTTATAAGCTTTGTATTAAAGGTCCGTCTGTCCACGTCCATTTTAGACGTGATGTGTTGTAATGTTAGTTGTACAGGTTCCTGTCTCGTCGTTCTGATGCTTCCTTCAACAAGGGAGAATTGTGACAATTACTTGTGATAATTGTGTATGTAAATATGACCTTTAGTGATGTTTTATTGTTGTAATTTCAGCTTGATTAACTTGGACTGATGGTTGTAATGGGGAATGGTTGAACAAATTAATTAATAGTTGTATTTGAGTGAGTAATTATATTTTATATTGTATATTTTGTATTGTAATTCACCTGCTCAGGGACTGCTGATGGAAACTAGCTTAAGCTAAATCTGGTGCAAAGCATCTTTAATGTAACACTGTCATTTTAAAATTAAAGCCTTACTTGCACAGAAATTGTTTTCATGGTGTCGCAAGGCTTTTTTTTTTTTTTTCTGCGGCTAGTCTGATTTTATTGCCGCCCGAATCTAGAATGTCAGTGTTTTAAGATTGTTTCTGATGAAATGGATCGGTCAAGAAATTGAAATTTGGACAAATGCTGCTGTCCCGAGAATTTTAGGTTTCTGTGTTCGCACCCCTCCACACACAATGGTTGTATAGGTGCACTGGAACAATCCTTCTTAAAACGCATTATACTTTAGTTTACAAAGACGTTAAACTCACCGAGTGGTCGGGTGTTCACTGATATGCTCACACAAAATTTGCTGCAAAAGATGTTTTCCAAAAGGTTTTATCGTAGTTTTTGTACCAAGTCAATGGAGTCGGAAAAAAAACTACGACCTCTTTTAAATGCCTTGTTTTACTTTCTTTGCCACTGACATCCAAACCGAACTACAAACTTTCCACTAATGTCCGGGGATGTGCTCGACAAGCTTGCACTCCTACTGCGTGGTTTCTCTTATCAGCTCACACACCACAGCTCAATAGGTGTTACTATATTTTGCTTAATATTCCACTAATTAGATCCATTCACTTCATTCATAGACAGCCTTGTCTTTTATCCACATTATAGTCTGATGTTTCTTTGTCTGGACACAAACACTGTACAAAATCGGCCTGGTATCGGTTGTTGGTATGGGAGCATTTTTCTTTAGTACGAGAACACAAGCCCAGTCCCAGTCTGTCGCAATCTGTGCATCCCTACAATTTATTTATTTTTTTAAATTTTAGGATCGTGGCAATATTTATGGCATTGTATGTATTGGAGAGATGTTTTTTTAAAGCAGTCTCTGTTGGATTTTTTTTTTATGGTGTTTTTCACTCGGCAGAGTGCATCCAGTGTGAAGCAATTTCTCTTTCCTGTGCCCTCTCACAGGTGTGTGCCCTAAAAGTGACCGACGGTGCTCGCCACAGGATCTTGAAGGCAGGTGGACAGATCATGACCTTTGACCAGCTGGCCCTCACAGCACCTAGAGGACAGGGCACCGTTCTGTTGTCCGGTACGTGTGTGCGAAGCAAGAATACTTTGTGTAGAAAACAAATTGAATATAAATCTGAGTCTTGTTTATTATAACTTTCTCATTTTCCAGAATGAGTGGCTTAATTGTTCGTATTTCGAGGGTTTCGGCTCCAGATTGTTAAAGCATCTGTCTTTTTTGCAAACAGGACCCCGTAAGGGTAGAGAGGTGTACAGGCATTTTGGAAAAGCTCCTGGAACCCCCCACAGCCACACCAAGTAAGTGATCAATGTGAACTTTGGTTTCAAGCCTTCCTGAGCTTGAGGCTGTTTGATAAATGTTGATCGTTGTGGTGAACCGTTTAACTGAGCGTGTTTGTGTCTCCTCTCTAGGCCCTATGTGCGCTC